TAAAGCAATTAATCACTATCTAAGGCTTTAAAACCCAACTATTAGTAGAGCTTAGGGTACTAGGGATCTAGCTAGACCTAAAACTAAATTAGGGACTATAAGTAAAGAAGGTAAAGTAGAGGGCAGATGCTAATATATAATCTATTAATAGGCTTATAGCCTCTATATAGGGGGCTATATTCGAGAAAGCTAAAGTTATATACAAAGCAATTATTAAGCTAGTAATACTATATAGAGCATAGATATAGACAGCCTAGGAGAAAACACTAAAGAGGATTAAGCAACTAGTTAGTAGGTCCTAAACCTAAAGCCTAAAGAAAATCCTAGGAGCATACAAAACTATACTAATAAGGGTAGTAGAAATAGAATTAGGGATCCTACTAGTCAAACAATACTTCAAGGGACTAAGACACTAATATACAGCAAAGACAACGGAATACCTAGCCTAACAGACTATCTAAAAGGCACTAGATAAGATAAAAGCCTAGTATATTAGAACTAGGAGGCGAGATAGACTATAGATAACTCCCTAGAAAGTTAAAGACCTAGAGCAATATAGAGTCTTAACAAGAGAAATGCTAGAGAAAGAGCTTTAGGGACTAAATATAAGGCTAAAGGAAGACAAGCTAAGGGGAGAGAAACAAAGCCTAGTAGAATCAATTACTAAACACCTATAAGAGTAGGAATAGAACAAAACACAAGTTAGACTAGGAACCCTAAAGGCACTAATCAAATTTGGTTAATACAACTACTAGCTCTACAAGGACCTAAACAGGGCCGAAGCAAGCCTAGCTATCTAAATTAGATCTGAATATATTAGACTCAGATCTTACCTATTTAGAAGAAACGTCCTAGGAATTAAAAGTGGGGCTTGCTAATGTAGCTACCAATCTTAGAACCCTAAGTGTATACTGCTAGTCTGCCCTTAATAGTTAGAAGGCAGAAGTAATTAAAGACTAAAAGCAATAGAAAGGGAATACGACAAGCTAATCTAGAGCAAAGAAGACCTAAAGAGGACAGTAAAGTAGATCATTAAACAGGGATTTATACAACAATTCGTACTAGCAAAGAAAACTAAGGAGTAGATAAGAAGGAGGGAAGAAGAGGGGGAAAAAGGGCAAGGTAGTAGGCAAGGTAGTTAGAGGGTAACAACTATAACACTAGTACACCCTAGAGGAAGGAAAACAAGGAAACGAGGAAGATTAATACTTATAAATAGGATAGGAGGGAGGTTTTTACTAACTAAGTTGGTTTCCTACCTAAAACAATATATAGAAATAGACCTACATAGGCCGAAAGGCACTACAATAGGCAAATGAAATATCTATCTATCTATATACTCAAAATTGCACGCTCTATACGACAATATAGGTTTTATTGTTGTAGCATTAAAAGCGACATGCGACATTTTCGTAGGTTAGTCTCTAGTTGCTAGATTTAGTCGAATTCGGGATAGTAGCTTAATTGTAGGCTTTATAACTTAATAACCTAACGTCGCATATATATAATTTTTACATAGGATGTCTTCCCTTTGCCTGCGCTATCGAATGCACTAATAATATTTATATATTTCGCGTTGTATAGAATGCTAGAAAAATAATATATGCTATATAGTCCCTCTCTACCCTTTGTCCTTAGACCCTCGTAAGCGAGGGCAGCAAGCCGGAAGCCGAGGGTCTAATTAGAGACAGCTATACTGCAGACTTTCCGATTCCTTCGTTTCGTAAGTCTTAATAGTAAAGAGCGTAATAAGAGAGAGAGAGAGAGGAAGAGAGAGAGAGAGAGATCTTACTTACTAGGATCGATAGGGTAAGTTAGCGTTTTCTATATAAGCTAGTATACTATCGTTATAACCTTCTTACTAGACAATAATTATATCTGTCTCTTTCTAGAAGCTCCGTCGACTTTATCGGTTTCGATATTAGGATAAAGATATCGAATAGGACAAGGAAACTCCCTTTAACGCTATAGCTATCGAGGACGTTGTAATATATATGCTAACCCTCTACGAGTTCTAGGAGGAAGATAGCACAATTAACTACTTACGCTAACGAGGACGAGGCTATCGACGCGATTAAGCGCACGAGTAAGGAGGCCGCGGCGATTAAGTGTTACCTATATATAGGAAGCCGCTCTACGGAACTAAAAAAAAAATTATTCAACTTTTCTATACGTAGTTAGCGAATTCAGGATAGAATATCCTATCTCCTATTAGACCCTTGCTAATAGCGTACGAGCTACCGGTTTATTTATAAACCCCTTACGTAGTCTTCCTTCTAAACTGTACTATATTAAGAAGACCCGAGATCCGGTGTATATAGAACAAGAAGGAAGTTACGAGCACAAAGCGAAAATAGCTAGAGAAGGAGGCAGAGAATATCCTCTTTAGGAGCGTGCTAAGCTCGATTATTAACAATAATATAACTACTTATTAGGGCTCGAAAATCTAGACAATTAAGGATAGAATATAGATAGAAAAGCTTATAATCTGTTCTATGCTAGTAGAGGGTTTGCAGTTAGACTAGGGGAACCGTTACATCTACCCCTATATACGGAATCCTAGACTAAGTTTCATTACTAACTATATTGCATAGAGGGTGAAGTGTTGGTTTTTCCGGATATAGGATATATAAATATATACAGTGCTTAGGATAGCTGTCTTTTTAATTCTTAGTCTGTAATTATAAATACTTACTTACGACCTAACCTCTACATTTAATCAAATATCGAATATACAATAAGAACAGAGCAGAACAAAAAACACGATGCGTTCTATCCTCACCTTCGCCTACGCTTTTACTATAACTATTACTCTCGCACTAGCCGCCTCCGCTTTCGATATCGGAACTAAATGTTCCTGCGGCGAACTTTCGTAATATATAAAGGGAGGAGCTCTAGGATATATAGAGATCGGCAGATCTGTAAGCTATATAGATAGGGATAATAGTCCTAGGGGCTGTAGTAAATAGTGTACTAAGGGACTGTATAACTATAGTTATTAGAAGAGTTAGTAAGTACGAAGTAGCGTGTCTTCTACGGATTTTTTTTTTAAATACCTATTGCTAATAGATAAGGGAATAGTGCGAAGACAGGACCGCTTTGTGTTTGTAGCAATAATGCTACTACCTCTTGCATTAGTGGACAACGTAAGCTACGATAACCTAGGCGAATCGATCTACAAACTCGTCGACTAACTCTACCGTCCTAATAAGCACCTAGGAATTTTGTTACGAAGGCCACTTAGGTACGCTAGACAAGTACATACCTTCTCCGGTATAGATAGACGTAGAATCAGATATTACACTTCCTTGAGAAATTAAGAGCTAGTGCCTCTCTCTATGTCTTCAGCATTAATGCTGCTAGGAGAGCAATCTTTGAGGAAACTCCGCGCGTAAGCCCTGATTCCTTACTAGGGACGATACGTCCACTAGTTGCGAACCAACGAGTACTTCGCTGCAGCTGAGTGGAGATGAACGCTGATGAGATAACGAAGGGGTGACTGCTTCCATTGCACTTGAGTTCCATAACGCTTGTTGTCACAACGAGCAACGGACTACGATCAGGTCTTGGAAGGTGATTTGATTTATTTGAATGATTCCCAGACTGAATCCCTTTCCCAATGCGATACATTCTCCTAAGGCTTCGCAAGCAGGATCTGGAGAAAAGAGCTTTTGGGCGTGAGATGGCTCGGTAGTACGAATTGGCCGGTGCCATCGATATCTGGGGAATTCGTTGCTACAGTCACTGAACAGTATACTGCGAGGAATCGGTACGAAGCTTGCAAGGTAAGATGCAGTTGCAGCGGTAGCGTACTTGAATTGCGGTGCTGAGCCTTGAGTCTCGCGAACTGGTGGTGCCTGAGCTGGCGTTATCATTGAAGTCCACGTCGCTTAGCCTGGCTCCTCGCGTGCTGCTGTGCTCATGTGTGGCGAGATCTTTCCCACCGCGTCGGGTAGCCCGTCTAGCAGGCACAGGAGAGGGTCTTGCTGCCGTGAGCGCATCGTATCGACCCGCGACGCCCGTACGGCCAAGTCCACGGCAGAGTGTGAGTGGGTTGTCATCCTCTGTTTTGTAGTTGTATGGCAGAGTGCTCAACAACAACGTGCTGTCCTTGTGCGCAGGTCGCAATGTGCAGTCTCTGTTTCCGCGTGGCATTCGGCCCATCTGGAGCTGCAAGTGCGCTGGTGTGCAAGAAGTGATCCAGTGCTGGGTTCTGCGCTGAGCGTGCTTCATTCACATCGATCGATGATCAAGAAGTTCCATTCCAGACATGATGCCAAGGTGGGGAATTCTTGAAAAGCTTTCAGTCTCAAGAAACGAGTATGGGATCTCTTGGTGTGGGAAGCCTTAATGATTCACACTGCGTAGATGAGCATCCCCTTAGAAATAAGACTCTTACCGGTGTAGCCATCATCCTTCTACATCCTGGTATGGAAAAATGGTATTTAAGTCGTCTCTAAATTGAGACCCTGAGTCTCTCGCGAAAAAGATCTTCCCCCAGACCAAACTCTTCGTGTGCGCCGCTTATTGCTGCTAGGAGAATATAGGTATAGTTAAGTAGCCTTCCGCTTCTGGATGAAAGGGCATCTTGTAGTGGTAGCCGTCTTGAACTACGTGAAGAGACACAAAAGGGATTCAGAGGCAATAGAACAGCCCACTCGGAGCAGCTGAGTCTCCCTCGGCGTTCCAGGTCGTGCCCTTCCGTAGCCATGATCGTGTTTCCCAGTGCTGATGGGAAAAGTGAGAGAGAGAGAGGGCGAAGTTCCGCCAAGATTGTGGCCTGAGGCTTGTATATATACATGACTCGTGCACTCCTTTCACGTTGCATGCACAATAGAAGCAAGGAAACCGAAAGACCAAAGGACGAATGAAAATACCACAACATACTTAACAAGCGAGTATATTATATCCTAGCGTTTATTTAGATAGTATTTCAGCGAAAAACTGCAACCGACCTGGAAATTCTTCGATAAATCATACTTCTTCGCGACTATGTATACCTACGACATCCGCTTCCCACGAAGTTCCACCTCATTCCACTCCTCCTCCCTCCGAACCTGCACTACGGGTCCAGTATACTCATGTCGTTTCTTAACCACGAACATAAGCAAAGCCAGCAGCATGACCGACCCGAAAATCAACGACACCCAGTTCATAGACTCAGGCGTAGGGTTTGGCGCAGCTGGGAAGAAGACCAAAACAAAAGCCAAGCTGAGGAAGCAGAGAGCTAGAAGATTAATCGGAAGGCCGAGGTTTCCCAGCGGGAAGCGTGTGGTGGGGAGTTTGTAGCGGGTGAGTTTGCGGTAGGTGATGCAGGTGATGGAGATGAGGTAGGAGGCTAAGATCGCTGCTGCGCCGAGGGAGGCGATGATGTTGAAGGCTAGGGAGGAGCCGATCAACACCAATGAGAGGATGACGGTGAAGACGAGAGTTGCGCAGACGGCGTTCATGGGAATCATGTTGCGGCTGGAGACTTTGGAGAAGAATCTGGAGAAGGGGAGACCGCGGTCACGTGCGAAGGAGTAGAGTTGTCGGCTTGATGTGGTGACCATGTTGATGGCGCAGAACATTAGGCTGAGGATGATGTAGGCGACCATGATGGCGGTGCCGGTCACGGATCCGGTGGCGTTGAGGAGGATCTCGATGTATGGTTGTCCTGTTGGGGAATTGATGGCAGCCTCGATGTCGCCGGCTCGGAAGAGGACTGTGAGCAGCATGAGGAAGGATATGCTGAAGTTGAGAGCTGCGGCGCCGACCATACAGCGTGGAAGCCATTTGCTGGCATCCTTGAGTTCTTCGGCCAGGTGACAGATGGAGTCGGCTGAAGTGAGGGTGGTGACTGGGGCGATGATGCCGATGAGAACGGCTGTGGAGAGATTTGGCCAGCCGTTCTCATTATTCCACTGGTCAAAGACTTCCTTGCGAGAGGATTGTGGGCCCATGGCCAGCAGTACTACTTCAAAAGCAATGTATGCTGCCACGTGCAGGATCAGGATGATGAACTCGAAGACTGGTAGCTTCTCCACGAGCACCGTGTTGAACAGGACTGCGACTAGTGCAATGGCGATGGTGAATAAAGTTGCATGCCAGCCTTGAAAGGTGATGGACGGATTGACGAGGATAGCAAGTCCTTCCATTTGCACTGCGGCGGCATAGCTCACGCTTGCGAGTCCGACCTGCCAGCCAAGCACAGTCAGCCATCCTACCAAATAGGACAGCAACTTCTGGATGGACTGTGGAGCGAATTCCGAGATCCAGTGATACTGTCCTCCCGCGGATGGAGCCATGGAGCTCATTTCTGCCAAGCTCAGGGTGGAGAGGAACAATCCTACAATACATGCCAGAAACATGTACGCAGCTCCAGCCGGTCCTCCGTTGGGCAAAGACCAGATGACGGTGATCAAGGCATATTCCCACGCACAGCCTAGGATGGATGCAAAGCCCACGATGGCCCATGGACCGAAGTAACGACGCAGTTCCTGGATTTTGCCCATGCGCCACATGTCTCGCTTGTCCAGGGCGGTGGAGAGGCGTCGTGGAGGGGCGTCAATGTTGATGGTGTCATCTTGTTCGACTGGTGATGGGCCAGCAACTTCGGAGACGGCATGGTCGCTGGATTTCACGTCGCTGAGGACGCCGAGCATGGTGGGCTAATGAACCCCTTATACGGCGTGTCACTCGGGGTAGAATTCAGAGGCCGCGTTGCCGATTCTAGCTTTCACCGGACCACCTGTGGCATGTCAAGATGCTCGACTGCATGCGGTCGCCGCAAGGAGACGAGGGTCAGTAGTACAGTCACGAGTGTGTGAAGGCAGACTCCTCGTTGACGAGATTATTATGGGGGAAATAGGGATGCCACTCGGGCCTGCCTGCCGCGCGGATTGTTCAGCATTGCATTTCTTGGGGGAGGCGGCGCGCGCTACGCTTCACGCATCTGGCGAAGGACGTGTATGTAGCCATACGGACACTATTGCGAGATGCAGATCCTACTACTTTCGTCTGGCCCCTCAGCTGTGCCGTGTGAACAGGAAGCGTGCCGCCAAGGGGGAAGTTGGAGAACACGTGACCAGATCAGGCCCCTTTTCGATTGGCTGAAAATATGGTGACTACTGTACTGCTATTCCTTCCGAGCTGAAGATCTACATCTACACCGACACTTAGAAATTGCAGATACACTATGCTCCACGACAGCATGCAGAGGCAGGCCACGAGCGCGACGTCCGTGGCCAGTGCTACCACTTCAGCCCTGCCTACACAAGCTGACACGTTGCGCGGTCGGCTGATACCCAGAACAGGATGGATGAAGAGAATACCGTCGAGAGTAGACTTCCTCACTCCTCCGACTCCTCCCGCCGATCATTGTCCCGCCTATCACACCAACGAGACCTCAGCATGCACAGCGCAGCATTCAACAGCCAACAGCCCGCGCGAGCGGACTCTGATTCCATTCCATGCCCGTGGACCAGCACCCATCCATCATGCGTGTGAATCTGCCGCTGCCGCTGAATGTATACGGCGCTCCAAATACAGCACAGCTTGCTTACTACTCGTGCAGTGCGCGACCGCCGACCGCCAACCGCCAACCCCCAGCGTTGCTTGTCAATCCTTCGTTCGCCGGCTTTGACCGAGCACAGGCCAGGCCCTCGATACGCCAACGCCTCTCTAACACCAACCTTATTTCACCGATCACCTGCGTTCTACCTCTCCCGTGAACCATCTCCCTTTCTACCACAACTACACCTGCCGATTGTGTCGTTTTGAGGAGATGTAGCAGCCTCCTTCCTTTCACTCCTTACAATGCAGCACCAGTGAACCAGAACCAGCATCCCAAGACTTGAGCACAAATGCCTTCGTCAGCTGTCGAACGAACGCGCTTCACCACCTGGACTGATTGGAATCATCAGCCGGGTCTATGGATCGTTACCGTGCTCTCGCTCAGCTATGCTTCGCTCACCTTGATCGTTCGACATCTCATAAGGAGGAAGTTTACCAGCACTGATGCCATTCTTTGCGCTGCTTACGTCTTTGGAGCCATTAGCTATGCTCTTATGTTTGCAGCCCTACAACAAGGGGCTGGCAAGGCTCCAACGCGACTGACAGCCGATGCATATGCCGACTCCTCGAACGTGAGTTGATCTGTATTTCTTGTAGCAAGTCTACTTTGCTAAATCATACCAGCTGCTCTACACGAGTATCATATTCCTCCTTCTCGCATGCGGCACAGCATCGTGTGCATCACTGGGCCAGCTGGAAGAGATTATTATCGGCCGCAAAGACAAGAGAATATGCTGGACAAGCATGGCATTTTGCGCCTGCTCGACTATCGCAAACCCTATCATCGTCTCCGCCGGATGTTCCAGCACTCGAAGCTTGGATGTTCACCCCGCCGGATGCTCTGCGCTCGTCTCTCGCTGGAGCGCTACAATCGTCCTCATCATCATCAACCTGCTGCTTCCTGCTCTGCTCCCGTTCTACCTCTTCAGAAAGCTGCATACGAAAGTTAATCGCAAAGTCAGTATCTACGTCGCATTCGCCTTCCCGCTCGTCAACATCCCGGTCGCCGCCGTGGCTCTGCGGCTGTACGTTCGATTCAACCAAGTAGGAAGTGATGGCACGGGCATCGTCAACTTCCTGTGCGCTTTGGAAGTCCTCCTCGGATGGAGTCTCATTTGCGTGACTATCCCAATCGGCCGCCCCATGGCTCTACGATTTCACACCAACGGCACCCTCATACTCAGCGAGTACGGCAGTAATGTCACACCAGGTCGAAATACGAAGACCATTTCCGAACCGCCGAGCAAGCGTGCAGCGTCTGTGCCTTACGACAACGACTTTCATATAGATCGATTCATGCATTCGTCTTCGGCTAGAAGGAGTTCGAGCGTGGCGCCTGATCCGGAGACTATGCGTGGCATTCGCAAGACGGTCACGATGGAGGTGGAGAATCATGATCCGATATCTTTTATCATGAAGGAACAAGCCTAGTGTCTTGGGATTGCGAACCACAGTCTTTATTCAAAGCATCAATCATACCGGTTGACGACGTGCGACAGGAGTCGGGGACCGAGGAGAACTGCGCGTCGTGAATCAGCACGATCCAAGTTTCTGGCCCATCGATCTCATCAGCCTCAGACCTCTCGCAGAGCCAAAAGGAGGAGGCCCTGCCGCGAAGCCATGATGGCCCACACATCGCTGTTGAAAGCTCAGATCTCACCGGGGTAGAGCGCATGGTCGATTGTGTATGGAAAAGTGTGGAGAACCAGCTGCAGAATGGGACAGACACCATTGCAATTTCCATTCGATATACACCCACATCTCACAGTCAAGACGAGCAGTAGGAGAAGGCAGACCTGCGCAGCGGCGACTTAGAGGCTGACAGCGACGTCTGGGCTGCCACCAGGCTACGAATTTGTGCCAAACTTCATTGGAGACAAGAGGCATGATAGAGCAATCACGCCCATAAGGGAATCCGAATCCCGCATTCTCTCCACAACTGACGGCTTGGGTGTGACTTTGTTAAGGCTTTGTGAATAGTCTTCTCTAAGCTAGAGCCTCTCTAAAATTCTACCTTCTAATATTCTATCCTCCCTCCCTATCTATCTAATACTATACGCCTGAAGAGAGCGTCTAGGCACACACACGCACGGAATTCAGATTTCGACAGTGAAAGTCAGTCGAGAAGAGTCGTACGTAAGCGCTGCCTCCACACAGTCCCTCGAAGCTCGGTGCCTCAGGCAAGATCATCGGAGCTACGTCATCGGAGCCACGTGCGCAGAGCCTCAACTCCATCCGCAGCAGCAATCCCAGATACGCATCTCAGGCTTCCATCAACACAAACAACTCTTTATTACCACCACGCCCACCACCACCGCAAAAATGGGCGCCTTACTCTCCCTCCCCCTCCTCGCAGTCCCCTCAATGGGCACCCTCCTAACCTTCGCCGCCTCCTGCTGCGGCGCAGCAACCTGCGGCGCCGTCTGCTCCGCCTGCGGCAAATGCAACAACAGCATCGCCACGCGCATCGCCTACGCCTTCATCCTCCTGATCAACTCCCTCCTCTCCTGGGTCCTCCTGACGCCGTGGGCCGTAAAAAAGCTCCAAAAAATCCTCCTCGACTACGTCACAATCTCGTGCGGCGGAAACGAATGCACAGGGTTCGCCGCCGTGCATCGCGTCAACTTCGCACTAGGATTGTTTCACTTCGTGCTGGCTTTCTTGTTGCTTGGAGTGGAGAGTTCGCGGGATAAGAGGGCGGCGGTGCAGAATGGGTTTTGGGGACCGAAGGTTTTGGTGTGGGTGGGGTTGATTGTGGGGAGTTTTCTGATTCCGAATTCTTTTTTTGAGGTTTGGGGGAATTATGTGGCGTTTGGAGGGGCGGTGCTGTTTTTGTTGTTGGGGTTGGTGTTGTTGGTGGATTTGGCGCATAGCTTTGCGGAGTTTTGTATTGAGAGGATTGAGGAGACGGGGTCCGCGGTGTGGAGGGGGGTGTTGATTGGGGCGACGTTGGGGATGTATCTTGGGGCGATTGCGATGACGGGGGTGCAGTATGCTTTTTTTGCGAGTGGTGGGTGTAGTATGAATCAGGCGGCGATTACGGTGAGTGGATGCAAGGTGGGAGAAGAGGATATTGCTAACGTGTACAGCTCAACCTCATCTTTATGATTGCCGTCACCGTCATGTCGATTCATCCTACTATCCAAGCGAACAACCCAAGAGCCGGTCTCGCGCAGGCCGCAATCGTCTGCATCTATTGCACCTACCTCACCATGAGCGCCGTCGCCATGGAGCCAGATGACAAGCACTGCAACCCCCTCGTCCGCGCGACCGGTACCAGAACCGCTAGCATCATCCTTGGTGCAGTCGTGACTTTCATCACTTGCGCCTACACCACCACAAGAGCTGCGACTCTCGGCCTAGCGATGGGCAGTGGAAATAAAGGCTACGTCTCGCTCGACCACGAGGCAGACACCCACGACTTGGTCGACACTCAACCCGAGTCTCGCCGCGCCATGCGACAAGAAGCTCTTAGGAGAGCAGTCGAGTCCGGTGCGCTGCCCGCCTCCGCACTCGACGAGAGCGATGACGAGGATGACGATGACGCGAAAAAGAACAAGAACGACGACGAGAAGCAGAGGACACAATACAACTATTCCGTCTTCCACGTCATCTTCATGCTCGCAACAGCTTGGGTGGCAACGCTTTTGACCCAGAATATCGGCGTCGACAAGGACATCAATGGAGAGTACGACCGATTCGTGCCTGTAGGCCGCTCGTACTGGGCGAGCTGGGTCAAGATCGTCTCGGCTTGGGTATGCTATGGCATCTTTGGCTGGACTTTGGCTGCGCCGGTCATTTTGCCGGATAGGTTTGATTACTCGTAGACGGCCGCGGACGATTGTTTTTGGAGCTTCATTGTTTGTAAGATCGAAATGCATCATGTGTCACAGGAGGCTGCCCCCTGCACAGCAGGTCTTTTGGTTGTGCAAACGGTGAGCATGCAGATTGCGTCCTAATATTTCCCAAGAATCAGCATGGAATGGAAAATTTCGGCAAACTTTTCCCACGACCGTACCAGATCTTGAGAGGGAAAGACCTGGTCGTCATTCACAGGTAGCGCTGGTCCGAAAATTCTGCGGCCATTGATGACGGAACGAATGAATAGAATCGCGGTCAACCGAAGATTCTCTAGCTCTATGCGATGCGATCCGACGATGCTCTGTCACCGGTAGTTAGTTGTCAAACAAACCGGCTTTTCAGTACTTGATGAGTGAGTGAGTGATTGAATCGCTTCCCTGCCGGAATGGCCCTCTGGTTCAGGATGCCGATGATGATGGCGCCTTCTATTATGCTTCGAAGGCTGCGAGGACGGGATTTCAAGGATCGGAAAATACGCCTATACGCTATCATGCACAGATTGACCGGCCTCAGAGGCTACGACCGGCTTTTCCCTATATATACTGGACTGGACTACAATTAAATGCGTGGAGTTCTCGATGCACCCTCCTCGTAGTAGAGATTTCTCCTCGCTAGATATCGAGCTAGGGCTAGCATTCCTAGGGAATTAGCGCGATCGGTATACTTATAGTCGCATTCCGCTTCGAGAGACCGCCGTCGGGAAACTCGACGAGAAGATCTTCGAAGTTATCGAAGTATAGAAAGGAAGTGCAAGTAATTGTTAGGACCACAGAGGCTGCACGTAATTGGCATGTAATCAGGCCGAGTGAAGCCAGGGTCTTGATGCCTCAGGCAGGGCTTGGCGCTTAGCGTTAGGCCAACTTGCCTGCTTTCCTCCCTCTCCTCCTAGATCCTTATCGAATACTACTTGTACCTACTACTACCCTATCTACCTGCTAATATACCCTTCTTATATAGTATTCGATCTACCCTTTAAGGGCAGTAGCTAGATAGTCCTTATTTTAAGCTTTTAGTAGTATAGCTACGAAAACTATCGACTTAACTATATTATACCCGAAGAACGGGACCTATACGCACTATTCTACTAAAACAACCGTACTAATTATTAAGCAAGGCCTTCTATACGGCCTATTATACTAAGTTAATCGTACTAGGCCGATATCTACTAATTCCGCTATATCTATATTATAGGGGCCTGCGATATATTATTAGTATTACCCCTTATAATAGCTAGCTTATTACGAAGCAACAACAATAACCGCGGCGCCGCTAGTAGCGCTAGTAATAACAACACTAGTAGTATAGAGCCTATTAATAAGGAGCCTATAGTTCTAGGTAATAATCTAGAATTGCCTATTAACGATATTCTTAATAACATTGTTAATCGACGATATAGCTAACTAGCCTTTAGCCCCTAACTAGTAGGGAGACTTTAAGAAGCTACCTAAAATAGGCTTACTACCCTACGTTAAGAGTAGCGGCTAAAGGATAACCTCCTCGAGTTCCGCCGCCTTTAGGAAGCCCCGATAACTACTACTAAACTAATAGTAGGACCTTCCTTACTATCTATTTAGAAGAAGAAGGATACTAAGCTTAAGGACTACACCGTATTTTACGGCTCTAGTCGCAAGTAATACAACGATTATATACGTAATAATAAGCTTAACTAGCGAAATATACTAAGGGCTCTTCTAGATAATTACTTACTAGTCGTCTATACTATATAGTGTATCGATAGCGACCTAGAACGCACCTAGGATAACTATTTTAACTCCCTTAATAAATAGACCGCTATTTAGTAGCAAAACTATAAAACTATTATACTAGATACCCTTAGAAACCCTATACTAAGGCAATAATATACTTAGGACTAGTACCTTCGAGCTAAACAAAAGACTAATTAATTGGCTCGCTCGTTTAAGGCCTATTTAAAGACCCTCGAAGATAATCTTCTAGCTAAGACTAATTCTATATAGATCTCGGAAATACGCCTAAAACTTAGGTAGGAGCTTATCCTCGAATTAGACCGTCGCCGTATATTTAAACAAGCTAATCTAATATGTATTTAATTTATAGTCGAAGTAGAAACAGCTAAACGAGCTATCTAGCTTTAGTAACGACTAGAATCGAGGATCCGACTAGCTAGTACTAACCGCGGTAACCGTAGTACCCGCGGAGGAAACTAGGGTTCCTACTAAAATAACAATACTAATAATAGGAATAGTAATAATAACCGTAGAAGAAGCCGTAGCCGGCGGCTATATAGAGGAGGCCGTAATAGGGGCCGTAGAAGGGGCTCGTATCTCTATAATACTAACCGCTCGGCTAACAATAATAGCAATAATAGCTACGGCAATCTCCTAACCGGGTTGAAGTGCTTTAACTATAATAGTACTAGCTATCTACTAGGCTAATGCGACAAGCCTAGAGATTAGACCCGGATTAACCGTACTTCCGCTAAGTATAAGAAACACCTTTTAGCCGCTAATACTACCCCTATTAGCTCTTCTAACTAGTCGAAAAAAGAGTAAGCGCCGCACTAACTGTTAGCCTTATATAGCGTAAGACTATCGATATTATGCTAGCTATTATACGCACCTATCTCGTTATAGGAAGGGTTATATTAGCAGGTAGATAGGGTAGTAGTAGGTTAGTATAGTATTCGATAGAGATCTAAGAGAAGAGGGAGGAAGGCAGGCTAGTTAGCCTAACGCTAAGCGCTAAGCTCTGCCTAAGGCACTAGGACCCTAGCTTTACTCGTGCTAGTTATATACTAATTATATATAGCCTCTAATATACGCTTCCCTTCTAAAGGCTACGCCCTCGTAGCCCTCTATGTCCCTATTCTAATCTCCTTATACTAACTTAGTAAGTCTAATAACTAACTCGCTCCGCGCTAAATTAAACGCTTAACTAATAGTTAACTAACTAATTATGTTATCCTGTCTAAACCTTACCTCCGACAATGTCTAACTTCTAACTGCGCTATTACTACTACTATAGTAACAATAAGGGGTTATATAGCTATATAAATTAAGGGCTAATAACTAATTATAATACGAGCGCGCCTTCCCTACTATAATAGGTAGGCGTACGGGGTATTGCAGCACTGCCCCCGTTCTAAGTAAGGTTGTCCGAGTTCTTTACGTCTACTCTAAAAGACCTAGAAATGTCCGCTTCCGAGGGTTATTCTTATTATTACGAGGGCTATTATTTACTATCGTAGTTTCGCTAGCTCTAATTAGTTAGGTTTAGCAGCCTTTAATTGTTAATCTTATTTTTAAAAACATAGTTCGTCTAGTTTCTATAAGTAAAGGCTATTATAAGTGCAATAGTTAAGGTTCGCTTCGCTTAAAGGGTCGGAAAGATCGAGAAGTAACCTATTATCCGCAAGATCGACCCCGGCTAGCTTAGCTCTATATTTTTGCCCTTAGTTAGTCTATTAATCGCTCAATCTTTTAAGCCTTAAGCCCTTCGAACGACTTCTTTTTAGCCTAGTTAGTATAGCGTGCCCCGGCCTTAGGCCGTAGTATAGGTAAGATAGTCTTCGTAGATATAGCGATAACTATCTTAGCGCTAACTTTACCTTACTTCTAATTTCCTTCTTCGACTAGCAATATACTCTATAATACTATTACTAATATAGTCGCGCGCTGTCTTCTAATATACTAGTAGCTCGTACTACGACGCTATCGTTATTATCGCTAGCACTATTCGCCTACGCGCGCGCCGCCTCTACCGACCGCCTAGGCCTTAGGGCCTCGATAGGACGTAGAAGTAAGAGAGGCGTTAAGAGAAGGGTCTCGTAGGGTACTCTAGTAAAGAGGTAGATCCTTTAATAAAGTAGGCGATTAGTCGACGCTTGTTAATAACCGGTACGCGTTTACTATAGTAGTATAGTCTCGTTGTCTATTAGGACTAAAGAGGTTATACGTAATTAGTATATAACTAGGCTCGAGTAAAGCTAGGGTCTTAATGCCTTAGGTAGGACTTGGCGCTTAGTATTAGGCTAACTAGCCTACCTTCCTCCCTCTCCTCTTAGATCTCTATCGAATACTACCTATACCTACTACTACCCTATCTACCTGCTAATATACCCTTCTTATATAGTATTCGATCTATCTTTTAAGGGTAGTAGCTAGATAGTCCTTATCTTAAGCTTTTAGCGGTATAGCTACGAATAAGACTAATCTAACTATATTGCTATTAGGGCTAAGGAGGCTATATATAATTAGCATGTAACTAGGCCGAGTGAAGCTAGGGTCTTAATGCCTTAGGCAGGGCTTAGCGCTTAGCGTTAGGCTAACTCTCCTACCTTCCTCCCTCTCCTCCTAGATCTCTATCGAATACTATACTAATTTACTACTACCCTATCTACCTGCTAACATAACCCTTCTTATATAGTATTCGATCTACCCTTTAAGGATAGTAGCTAGATAGTCCTTATTTCAAGCTTTTAGCGGTATAGCTACGAATAAGACTAATCTAACTATATTGCGCCCGAAGAATAGGACCTATATATACTACTTTATCGAAGCAACTGTACTAATTATTAAGCAAGGCCTTCTATACGGCCCGTTATACTAAGTTAATCGTACTAGACTAATATCTACTAATTCCGCTATATCCGCATCTTAGGGGCTAATAATATATTATTAGTATTACCCTCTATTATAATAGCCGGTTTATTACGAAACAACAACCGTGCTACCGCTAGTAGCGCTAGCAACGACAACGCTAGCGGCATAGTGCCTACTAAAGCGCCTCCTACTAAAGTGCCTACTAAAGTGCCTCCTACTAAGGTACCTACTAAAGAGCCTACTAGAGGGCCTACTAAAGAACCTATAATCGAAGGGGATAACCTATCGTTGCCCGTTAACGACATCCTTAGCAATATTATTAACCGTCGATATAGCTAACTAGCCTTTAGGCCCTAGCTAGTAGCGAGACTTTAAGAAGCTACCTAAAACAGGCTTACTACCCTACGTTAAGAATAGTAGCTAAGGAATAATCTCCTCGAGATTCGCCGC